CACTCACTGCCCACCTATCCTAGGCGCGTCTGTAGCTCGACCAGGCCGACCCCTGTGGGTCTGCACTGGAGCAGACGCTGGCGCCACGAGCCGGAGGGTACTGGGCAGTGTTTGAGTTGTAATGAAAGAGGTGCCGGGGCTCTGAACCGCCAGGCCCAGAGGTGCCGGGGCTGTGAACTGCCAGGCCCAGAGGTGCCACATCTCAGCCCTGGCACAAATTAACCACCAGTACTGGGTGTGGCTCAGTGCCAGTGTTACTGTAGCCCTGGGTGGGGTCCCCGTGGAGATCCCTCTGCCCTATAGAGTGGTGGGGCAAAGCTGCTCTGACCCCTCCGGACAACCCAGGGCCCGTCCCCGCTGGGGCCTGGGCCGGGCGTCTGCATGGCCGGCAGTGGGGCCGAGGGAGCGTGTGCCCTCACCCGCCCCTGTGCTCCCCCCGCAGGCTGCTGGTGCCCGGAGGGGCTGGTGCTGGACAGCGAGCAGCGGTGCGTGCGCCCCCGGGAGTGCCCGTGCCTGGTGGAGGGCGTGCGCCACTGGCCCGGCCAGCTGGTGAAGGTGAACTGCCGCATCTGCGCCTGCCAGGACGGGCAGATGAAGCGGTGCCGGCAGAACCCCGAGTGCACTGGTAGGTGGGGCTGGGCCCCGGGCTCCCCGGCTCCCCCTCCATTCCCGAGCCTGCGGGTGGCTGGTTCCTGGCTCGCCTGCATCCCACTGTCCCTGGCTGCAGGGGCTTGTCTCACGACCCCGTCCCTGTGTCTGTCTCTAGTTAACTGCGGCTGGTCGGCCTGGTCTCCCTGGGGCGAGTGCCTGGGCCCGTGCGGTGTGCAGAGCATCCAGTGGTCCTTCCGCAGCCCCAACAACCCCAGCAAGCACGGCAACGGGCGTCAGTGCCGGGGCATCTACCGCAAGGCGCGCAGGTAACGCTGAGGGGACGCCGGGGCCGAGCTGGGCCACTTCGAGGGGCTCCAACGGGGCAGCCACACTCTGCAGGGGCTCGGCATGGCCCTCGGGCGGCTCGGCACGGGCTGGGTTAGTTCAGAGGAGCCCCTGAGCACCAACCCTGGGCGGTGGGCATGGGCCTGGGGGGCCGGCAGTGGGCATGTGTTAGCCGCACACTCCCGGGCTCCCCCTTTACCCAGTTCCTAGGGCTCCAGGCACACTCCTCTGCGGGGCTGCAGGGCCTTTTCCCAGGGAAAGCCTTGTGCAGTAATAGCCTGATCCTCTATCACCCATCACCAGCCAGAGTAACACGCTAAGCCTACAGCACCAAGCTCCCCGGTCCTGGTCTGGCAGCGGGACTTTCCCGGCGAGGTCGGTCTCGTCTGGGTTCTGGCCGCTGACCTTCCCGTCGTGCTGAGGATTCGTAGCGGCTTTGATCTTAGGCTGTGTCTTGGGGCTGAGTTCTTCTTCTTCCCGCTCTTTCCTTCTCCTCCTTCTTCTTCTTCTCTTCCCTTTGCCTTTCTTTTTCCTTCCCAGCTGTTCCCCTTGGGCCCCAGTTTATATAGTGAAACTTGAGTCCTGCTTAGCTGCACCTTAACCAATCATTTCACTGAAGTCTTACAAAATCATTCCTGACCAATCCTAACATACTGCACCATCATTCTTGACCCTGTCAGACCCCACCACCTTGGTTGATTTAAATCTTGTCAAATTAATTATGCAACAGCCAGAAACAATCAAAGCACCAGACAGATAAACCAGAGAGAAGTGGGGACCATAAGGACAAAACAATACCGAAGTATGTTGTACTTAAAGTCCTGCACAGGATCTTTTCAGGGGGAATAAGGCAAAACGCCACATTTATTAGTAATACGTGTATTCATTAACACTGTATC